ATGTAACGAGCACTGTACACATACAGATGTATATAGGACTACGCAGACATGTGGCATAAAAAATGTGTCTCATTTTTAAACTGTTTCTTGTCATATTTAGAATATGAAGCCATTTGAAGAGCCATGCCATTAAGAGGAAAAAATTATCTGACGTTCTTCCACACTTGCATAAAAACAAACAATTATAACGCTCACCAGTTATTTTTCACCTCTTCCCCGAACTCAATCTTCTCTTTAAGCATTATACATTGCAGTTGGGTATGATGATCTGAATATTCTTTTGCAAGCGAGGGAAGTAAGCGATGAACAATTTTAAGATTTGTGAGGTCGGCGGCGAAAAATTACATCTTATAAAGAGGATTCTCATAACGGAAGACTGAAAAGACCTTTGATAAGTAACATAATTATACCATCTATGAATGCGAGCGAGTGTAGCTAGTGACCATTGGTGAAAGTTGGTCTTAGGCGCTTTGAATTAGCGGCACGTTTAATGATGAGAGGAAAAGGGGACACTGAAAGGGGGATAAAGTCACTTAATACTAGAAAAGAAAAGGAACACGCGTCAAAGTACAAAGGGTAATTATCAGAGGTGAAAATGGGACACTTTTTACACCTGAAAAAGAGGCACTCACAAGAGATGAAAAAAAAAGAACTTATGAGAATTGCAAATGGGCATTTGTCGAAAATAAAGGGGCACCCATCAGATTTTGATAAGAGCATTTATAATAGGTGAAAAGGGGCAATTACGAAAAGGGGACGGGCCCCTCATTATAATGGAAAAGAGGCACGTATCATTGTTAAAAGGGAAATTATCGGAGGTGAAAGGGGGCACTTATCGCACGTAAAAAGGGGCACTGACCATATATGAAAAGAGGCACTTATGAGAATGAAAAAGGGGCAAAGATCATATTTTGATAACGGCATTTATCAGAGGTAAAAGGGGGCTTTTATGAAAAGGGGGAAGTGGCTCTTATTAAAAAGAAAAAGAGGCACATGTTAAAATAAACGGGGCACTTATCAGAGATGAAAAGGGATAATTATGAGAAGGAGAAGGGGCACTTAAAGGAAGGAACAAGAGCAGTTATGAGAAAGGTAAGGAGCACGTGTCAAAATAAAAGGGGCATTTGTTAGTGTTGAAAAGGGGCACTCATCGGTGATGAAAAAAGCACGTATCAGGAGGGGGAGGGGCACTTTTCAAAATAAATGTAAAACTTGGCATTTTGGGGGTACTTGGATAGGTGGGGGCACAGTGCCCCCTCCTGCCCCCCCCCCCCGGAGCGCTTCCCCTGGACCCCAAGCCAATTTATGCTGTGCTTGCTACGCACTACCTGATCGGAAATATTTAGCCCCCCCCCCCCACACTTTAAAAATGTTCAGCGGGGCCTGAATATTAACTTGTCTAGACATTTTTGTTTTAAATACTAAATTCCGATGCCACGTGTTTGTGCAGTCCCTATTAGTGCTTTCTTATACACTGTCGCTCATATAAAAATAATTTAAAAATAATAGATGTAGATAATAGTATACATTTTCAGATTTTATTGAATAATAATGTGCCAATGTGTGTTTTGCGTGACTGCTAAAGCATGGGTATGTTAATATGCTTATCAACTAGGGGACCTACGCCCTTCAGTCATAAATGACAGTAATCAGGATTAATGCCCCACAAAAGGGCACTATTATAGCACATCGACACGGTTTTGATCGTGGGGCCTCACAGTTACGAGGCCATTGCTTTGTCACTGAACCATGACTGTACGCAGCGGGGGGCTAGGGTAGGGGGCAGGGAAAAATGCAATAAATTATTGAAAATTTATTGCATTTTTCTGTTTTTTTTTTTAATTATGGAAACTGCCCCCTACCCTAGCCCCCGCTGCGTACAGTCATGGTTCAGTGACAAAGCAATGGCCTCGTAACTGTTAGGCCTATTCCTAATAACCCCATTATCAACCATAAACACTATTTTAAAGGTCAAAGTTCATTGTAATTAGTCAGATTCAGGGGGGAAATATGTGTTTTCGTATGTTATCTAAAATTACCCTACGTAAAATCTATAATCTTTTAAACAGTACCCATACTCTTTTTTTCCGATTTTATTTCAAGTACAAATACTATTTTAACTTTCTAAACATCACGTGCATTACGCATCTCAAGACGTCAAAATGTAATATTTTGTGAAATAAAACAAATTTGCTCTCGTTGATACCTGGCAAATACGTTTTCAGTTGTTACCAGTTTCTGTCCATTCGGAAACTTATTGACACAAGAGAAACAGTACATTATAAAGGAATGTGTGAAGGGTTCTCAACATTTACTTTCGAAATGCGGTCGCTATGCGAGGTCGTGATACCGTTCAATTGAATCATGATATTTCAGCAAAAACGATTAGGGGAAAACCCCAGCGGATACGAGGGGAGCACGTCGCAACTCCCCTATCCCGCAAAACCACGTTTTAAACTAAATACATGCACACACAAGAAATTTGTGGCCCTCCCCACCGTACTCCGGGCCCCAATGCCGACCCCCAAGGGCCCCAAAAGGCACCTGAATATGAGATAACCTGGCCCTCAGCTGCCTTCAGACTGTAATCATCATAACAAAGAGAATATTGTGCTTCTAATAAACATTTCCTTGAGTTTGAGTTGATATTAACAGCTTTTTTTTTTCTTCAACTGCCTAATCATGTAAATAAATGAGCAATTGTTTTGGAATGAGATAAGACAAACAATATAGGGATTGACCCACATTCATGGCTTCAGCTCAAACTTGGTATATACAAAAGGATTTTGACTATACTTTTTGAAAAGCATTGCTGTTCAGTCATCCTTGGCAGCACAATTATGAAAATGATATCATTAGACAGAGTATTAGTTCTTCTTGCAATGAAATATGAATTAATGTCACATAGGTTATAACTCTTTAATTAGAAGCTACGAAAGTTGGCTACACTTTTTTTTTACACTGTATAGCACCAGTTCGGTGAAAGGAAACTTATATGCATAATGCTCAATCAGCAACACTCCAAGAAAAAAACATTCCCAGCTCTTTAGCGTTCAAAAGGACGACCTACTTCCATTTATTGTTTGTTTTGTGTAAATATCTCAAGATGTCGGTGTAAATATTGATAATATAAAGGACTGAAAGTCAGTAATAACGCGCCGATAAGACCGCCATGCTTTGGGCACGAACGCATGTCGTGATGTCATGTGATTGGTGGATACAATACAGCCAATCAGCGTGTGACATCTAGTGTTGGATTGAATACAATCGAAATAAACATTGCAACGCGCGATTGAAATAGTTTTGTTTCTTTTTCAAGTAAATGTTTGGGAAGCTATTTTAGTATTTAATTTCCATAGCTGTGTTATATGAGCCAGTAAATCAGAACTGTGATTCCTGTAAATACCCTTTATTCGTATAAAATTTCGTCAGTTTTGCATTTCTGCCATTGTCAGACCTTGAAAATCGAAATAATACGGAAAAGGTTTTCCCCGACTCTCGACTCAAAAACGATGAAAGATTAATTTATCCTTTATAGATCATCACATATCGTCTTATTGTGTTGAGTTTTTTTACCAATACCAGATAATACCAATAAACAATTCATGCTATCAAACTATCAATAACTCTTCTTTATAAAATAAGAAATCAAGAATTTGAAGATACCGATCTAATAGTGGATACAAAAAATAAAACAAAATTTAGAATGGTATTTAATAAAATACAGAAATTTCATATCAATTGACGATATTGAGGAAATAGATGTAAAATCATAAAATCTTTTTTTCCCCCTTTTCTTATATATTGGTATTTTATATCATCAGGATTAGACTGTTGAAGTCCATGTATTGGTACAAACTTTTTTTTACAATAAATCTGATCATGCCCATGGAAAAACATACTCACGCGACAAACAATATTTACAAGCTATCAGATGTCAAATGTCAATCACTATCTCGTTAATGGCTGTAGATTTTGAGTTGTTTCTGATTGTTAGTAAACATTGGTATATAAAACAATTATCATCACGTGGAAGAACTAGTTTGGTTTGGTTGTACGTGTTCGCTAATTCGCATTGTGGTTGTGCCAGAACGCCGCATCAGCATATTGTTTTAGAAACCTCGTAAATGGAGACTGCAATAAAAAAAAAGTTTGGGGAACTTTTTTCTGTAGTAAACATACGATATTGTTTTTCTCATAGACAACCGATCGTAAAAGCTTTTGAGAACTCATGTTGAGACCACGTAATCCACCATGGCAACGTTCGCATATTTGAAAAGGTGATGGACAAGGCTACTGAAATTGAATTTACTTTTCAAAACTCTTTGGGGTCGTATTGTATATAATGTCAAATTCAGCGCTTAATTGTTCAGTCGAGTGCAATACATTTCATATTGACTGTTTAAAATCCATGAACATCGCGCAATATGATATAATTGTTTTAAACTTCCCATTCACCCAATGAAATCTCTGTAAGCATCCGGGTCCTTCACTCTTTTTAAGTTAACATTGGATAGAAGCTACACAGAAATATTAATGTGCATGAGTGTGTACATGCAGAATCCATCCATGAAATCAATATCTTAAAACATTTCCCGAATACTAAAATAAAACCCTACGATAAAATACAAAAAGTCTCTGTACTTTAGAATGGATTCTTCGAGGGGGATTTAAGCTTTTGATCGTGTACTGATTGGAAGCACTTGTTTATACTTCAGTGGTATGGTATGCACGTACCATTCCGAGAAACATGCAGGTCATCTTTATTTCCAAATAAAATAAAAGAAGGTACATGAAAATTACCCTGGTCATCTACCAGAAGAAGAGAACAATTGTCCTCATTAACTGACAGGAGGTAGGGTCACAAATACAATAATATACAGTAACAAATATAATATTCACAAATGCAGGAACAGGAGACAAACAGACAGAGTTAAAATCAAAACGAATAAAATAAAAGAGAATAACAAGAACAACATGTCACAATTGAAACAATAACGTATTATGTCAATATCATACTGTAGTCACGTATCTTCAATTAATCAGTTTATTTGAATAACAGTATTATCAGTATGTAGCGAAATGTTATCATTAATTCTAAACATTTGCACTTCATCACAGTCTATTTACAAGTATATTAGTATAACAGATCCGATAATGAGAACAAATGTTATTGTAAACATAGTCATATCATATTGCGGCAAGGGCTGGTGCTTATACACGTATAAGTTTACCCAAAATTGACGGCAGTTTTTGAGTACAAATCTATGACATTGTAATCAAATAATTGGCGTCTTGTAATGAATTTTAATACTCAAAATCAAGTTCAATACCATGTACATGTAGTTGTTGGAACAGTAGCTTTTTACATCTGTCACTAGCTGCGGGTAGATTGCTATATTTTGGTAGTGGACAACAAATCTGTATCGATGTAATTAAATGATTGTCAGACTAATTCGTATCCTAAGTCTTTTGCTAGGTTTACATTCTCTTTCATACCGAGATACGTTTGATCGATAGATATCTTCCTCTACATAATATGTCATTATCACATATGATATTACAGATTACATGTACATGTATATCAACATAACAAACATATCTACAGTCTAAAAACCAAGTGATGGGGTTATCCCGCTTCAGAGAAGCATCAAGTCTAAATTAATGAATAATTTAATTAAAATTCATTTTTTATTTAAATTAATATTCTATGCGCAAGAAGTGTAAAGAGTACATTCTGCTTTTGACCCTGCCAAGTTTAATTTCATTCAAAAGTTATAAAAGATATTGGATTCAGCTGTTCATCAAAATTAACATTTTTGCATAAAATAATGTACATATTTCAAGTAACTTCATACTCAAATACTTAATAAGAAATCGCTTTATATGACACAGTGCTAATTTTTTTTGTATCGTAACTGAACTTTGTTTCCAAAGGCACATTAGATACATTCTTTTCCCCCAAACGTGTTGGAACCATACATAGACTATAAGACCCTGTCTTGAAACAGAACCTTCTAATATTGTCATTGACCTAAATGTTGTCAGTCTAACATTAGTCGTCGGGTTTAGCACCCAGAGGTCCAAAACTCCGAAACTCCACCTAGCCCATGCGCCAAAATTGTTTTTTTTGCAGGATTTCTAAACACCTGAAAGTATCAATATATTTGTTTAACAACTGAATACTTTATTTTAATACAGGGAACATCAGGTCCCATGGACAATGTGTTAAGTACAAAGCACGTGGAAATACATTATCCAGAAATCACAATCCTTTCATTTCCTGACGTGTTGATAAAGGGGGATAACGGGCCCGGCCTATCTCCACAATGAACCTATTTCAAAGTCATAAGGTGTATTTTCTCCTTCGCATATATGACCCCCATATCAGCCCAATCTGGTTCGCTTGTCACATCCGCCTCGCCCAAATACTCGATACTGCATCTTGCACCTGCAGGAAAGGGGAAAAAGGGATATTTATTTATTTATTCATTTATTTATTATTATCATGTTTTTTAATATTTTATTATTATTATTATTATTATTATTATTTTTTATTTTTTTATTTTTTTTTTTTGGGGGGGGGGTTCATTACAGGTCATCGTTGTTTTATGGGTATTTAAAAAAATACTAATAATAATATCGACAGGTATCACTTTTTTTTGGGGGGGGTGGACATGTCATAGAGTTAATAGTCGTAGTGTGAAAATAATATTCAAAAGTCTTGATTTAGATTTACAATCAGGAGCATGATCAGGCGAAATTCACCAGGGATGTGTGATGCCTCTTGACCGAGTACAAAAATATTTAAGTTTCGATTTATTTATTTTTTTATTATTATAAAAATAAACCACCTCGCTGCCAAATGACGTGGTCTTGACAAATATTGAGAATGTCAGACTTCTCTGTGGTTGCATCAAAAGGAAGACAGGAAACGGGGATGAAAGAGAGGAGAGAGAGGGTGGGGGTAAGAGCCTGAGAGAGGATTGGTGGGAGTAAAAGAGAGAGGGAATTGTTGGGTGGAGTCGTCTCGTCGAGGGAGCAAGAAAGATACGCATAGATATGTTGCTGTGTCGGTCAGCTGTGTCGGTATTCTTGCTCGATCCTCGGTTATACCAATGCAGAAGTCGGTGAGATGTAATATAATGTCGGTCGGCCGGCAATTTTTTCCCCTACCAACTGTGACTTTTTATCCGCTGTAACGACTTCGAGAGAAACTAGAACTGTAATACTTGTATTTTCTTGAATTTTCACATTCCGATAATATCAGCAAAAGAAATCAGAGAAAACTAAATTCGACAAGGATTAAGAGTCGAGAACGGTACAACGAATCGTCTTCTTTCTCTAATAATTAAAGGAAACGTCAAAGCTTCCGCGCTTCGCGCAGGAGGGGAAAAACTGAATTCAGACAAAGATAAAGAGTCGAGAACGGAACAACGAATCGTCTGCTTTTTCTAATAATTTAATGAATCGTCTAAGCCCCCCCCCCCCCACCCCCCTCTCTCTTCACCCATCCCCCTAGGGAGCGCTCCGCGCGCTCTTTAGGTGATTCGCGTGCTCACTACCGCCCCCCTAAAATAAGATCCTAGCTACGCGCACTGCATTCAAATATATAGCTACGATGCTGACTAAGTTGACGAAATAAATCGTATATTTATGATTTCGAGGAAAATCACCATGTGCGCATACGCAAGTACTATAGATAGTTCATAGGAAAAACAATTTAGCCTCTTTGTAGGGTGAAATTTGTAGACATTGGGATATTTGTCGTAGTGGGGGCTGTAAGGGATATTTTGGTGCACCAAATTTGGCCCAGAGGTAGATTATACCATACTATTACGATTTCATATTAGAGAAATGCAGAGAACACAAAAATCCCCTCTATTTGTGCTTTATAGATTATAGTAAAGCATTTGACTGTGTGAGCCACTCTCAATTGTGGAATACAATGGCAAAGATGGGTTTCCCAAGTCACATCATCGAACTGATCAAAAACCTCTATCATGACCAAGAAGCAACAGTGAGAGCCAGTAACGGTAATACTGAGTGGTTTGGAATTGACAGGGGAGTACGTCAAGGCTGTATACTGTCTCCTAACCTTTTTAATATTTACTCCGAGGACATTATGAGAAATGCTCTGGAAGGATTCAAGGGGGAGTTCGTCAAGGCTTTATACTGTCTCCTAACCTTTGTAATATTTACTCTGAGGACATTATGAGAAACGCTCTGGAAGGATTCAAGGGGGAAGTTAAGTTTGGAGGTAAAAAGAAAACGAACCTAAGGTATGCTGATGACACCACTCTCGTTTGCAACAGCAGAGAAGAGCTGATTGATTTGTTAATTCGCATCAAACAGGCAAGTGAAGAGAAAGACCTTCTTCTAAATACCAAAAAGACTCAAATAATGGTTGTCGATAGAGATAATAATAACACTGACTTCACTGTAGCTGGAAATAAGATTAAAGTAGTAAATTGGTTTGAGTACTTGGGTTCAATTATCACTAACAGAGGAGAGAGCAACACAGAGATAAGAAGAAGGATGGCAATGGCGAGATCAACAGTACAGAATATGTCTCACATCTGGAAGAGCCGAGGCCTATCTCTCAGTCTGAAGGTTCGTCTGCTTCAAGCAACATCTTTCTCTATTGCTACTTACGGAAGTGAGTCCTGGGCCATGATAAAGAATGACAGAAAGACAGTTGATGCCTTTGAAATGTGGTGCTACAGGAGGCTGTTGCAGGTGTCATGGAAAGATAAAAAGACAAATGTGTGGGTCCTGGAAAAGATTGGAGCAGACTTGACCATCAGAAGGGGAATCATGGAAAGAAAACTCAACTATTTTGGACAAATTGTTAGGAGATCTAAAGGTGTTGAGAAGCAAATACTGCAAGGAGCAGTCGAAGGAAAACGTGGTAGAGGTCGTCCACCAATATCTTGGACTAATGATATCAAAAAAGTGTCTGGACAAGGAATGAAAGGTGCAACACAAATGGCAGGTGAAAGAGTTGCATGGCGTGCTCTCGTGAAGGCCACAGGAGCGCTTTACAGCGCTACCTGAAGTTGATGATGATGATGATGATGATGATGATTACGATTTCTGCCTGACGCCAAGAAGGGCGCCATATTGGGCAAACCCAAAATGGCCGCCATCTAAGTTAAAGGTCAAGCGTAGTTCCAAAAGGCAAAGCGCTCGTATGATAATAGTTTATATAATTATAGGGTTTGGGGGTCAGAGAATCTGATTATAATCTTCTTTCATTGATTTGAGGTCTCCTTGGGGCTGCCATACTGGTCACATTGGTCAAATCCAAAATGGCCGCCATCTGAGTTACAGGTCAAATGTAGTTATGAAAGGATATAGGCTAGTATGATAAAAGTTGATATATTTATGGGTTTCTGGGTCAGAGAATCTGATTATGAGGTTCTTTCATCGGTTTTAGGTCTCCTTGGGGCTGCCATACTGGTCATTTTAATATTATAAATATAAATATAAATATAAACAATATCTTTGCAATTCTAAATAGTCATATCATTTTAAAAACAATTATTATTATGTTTCAATTCGCAATTATGTTATCATCGGGTCAATTTAATCTAATTATAAAACCAGACATTTGAATGGAGAGTCCACCCTGCGGATTGGTTTACTCCGCCTTTACTTGGCCACACACATTCTCAGGGTGGACTTCCCCTTCATTGCTACCGGGCTAGACTTGATAAGCTTCGCTTTTTCTAGCCCCATCTACATTACTTACCTTTTTATGTTTTAATGTTGATGTTTGTTAACTGATTTATGCTTCTGTATCTGTTTTTCATTTGCTCTATGTGTCAAATGTGTACAATGTGATCTGTTAACTTGTATATTTTTCTGGTTTTTAATGTGGAAAATAAATGAAATGAAATGAAATGAAATATTGGTCTAATCCAAAATGGCCGCCATCTGATAGTTACAGATATGTGTGGTTTCGAAAGGAAATGGGCTAGAATGATAACAGTTTATACATTTATGGGGGTTTTCAGGGTCAGAGAATCTGATTATGAAAAGTAGTAAGAGGACACTTTTTTTTTTTGGTCTTGAAATTTGGTTATTTGACATTTTTTTTTTCGTGGGGGGGGGGGGGGTTAGGTCACCTTTTTTTAGGTCAGCTATGGGCATAATTTTTTTTTTTTTTTTTTTTTTTTTTTAATAATTAAAAAAAGAAGAACAAAAATCAAAGGGGGGGGGGGGTTAGGGGGTTTTAGGGGGGGGGGGTTTACACACATAAAAATACCAAAGGGGGGGGGGGTTCAACAAAAAAACAAAAAAATTGTCGACAAACCTTCTTTGTGAATTCGGGCCCTTATGTTTGTCCAACCTGGCAACAACTAATGTATGCAGATCGGATTCTGTCTATTGAATTACTATTATTCTTTTCAGGTGAATGAAATAATATGTATTGAGGCACTTCACGCCAGGTTTCTAAATTAAGGTCCCGTAGTGTATCAGTTGGTGACTCCACCATAATCCCATCTTATACTGTTAGAAACTTAGGTGTGTTTTTTGATACCCACCTGAATATGGATTTACATATCACTAAAACATGCAAATCAGCCTATTTCATGATTTATAATTTGAGACGCATTCGAAAATACTTTAATCAGGACAGCATGAAAACTATCATGCATGCATGTGTTACCAGTAAACTAGATTCCTGTAATAGTTTATTGTATGGATTGCCAAATTCACAAATTTCCAAGTTGCAACCGGTCCAAAATACATGTGCACGACTAATTTGCAGCCTCCCAAAATTCTCTCGAATAACCCCACTTCTAAAGGAACTACACTGGTTGCCAATTCGCCAGAGAATTACATTTAAAATATTAATGATAGTCTTCAAAGCTCTAAATGGTCAAACTCCTAGTTACGTTACTGAATTGTTGCATATCAAATCTTAAACTCATGGTCGTAACCTTCGTAGTACACAAGACACATTTATGTTGCAAATACCCCCATATAAAACCAAAGTAACCCTCGGGGACCGGTCATTTCTCTGTGCTGCCCCTAGATCATGGAATAAATTACCACTAGAAATAAGGAAAGCCCCATCACTAAAGAATTTGAAATAAAAACTGAAAACTCACTTGTTCATAATAGTATGTATAGCACAGCATTTACGAGCTCTTGCAGCGCAATAGAATATATCCACATAGTTATTGCGCTTTACAAATGAATATTATTATTATTATTATTATTAAATTTGGTTACATTACGAAAATGGCCTATTGGGCTATTGAGCATAATTATGAGTTTGTTGATAACGCCATCTTCGACGGCTGTAATCAAGTGTGTAGAGAATTATAAAGGACTTAGCAGATTCTGGACTACTACACCCACCGTACAGAAGCTCGTAGTCTTTTTCCTCAACATCGGGGCATGGGTAATCCTCGTAGATTGATCCTGCTTCCATTTCAGCACCTGAGGTAAGAGGAGAGAAAAAACGATTAAAAAAACAAGTTATATATTTTTTCAGTGATAAAAAAACAATCAATACCGTTGAATCTAATGACTGATGTAATAGTATATCTATCTGTAAAGCGCTTAGAGACATTTGTATTAAGCGCTGTATAAAAGCGGAATATTGTTATTATTATTCCACTGCCATTATCAAAACTGATTCTAATAGTAATTCCAATACCATAACCGATTTTATAGTATTAATATTGCGGCTCCATTATCAATGGTAACAATCCTATGCCCTTGCAGTATCAATTTTAAAGACAGTATTGATATCAAGAATAGTTCTGATATCAATGAAGATGTATCAATATCATCATGAATCTCAATATCAATTTCAGTACCAATTCCAAATCAAACCAAGACCAATATCGGTCTTGTTAATGTATGCTCGGTCTTTTAATTATGTACCATTAGGCATTACACATTGGAGCAAAGGCAGGAAGAGTGGCGTCAATTTTCGTAGAAATAATTCATACGTTTCCAATATGTATTTATCATGAAGGAAAAGATGAATAGCGTCTGAATCATTCTTGACAACAAAAAAGAAGTTGATGTCAAAACACTTTTCTATTTTTTTTGGTTTTAATTCAGGTTCCATTTTACCCCTTTTACGGTAGGCCTATGTATAATTAAATTTAACTCAATAAAGGTTCATTCATCCAATTAAAATATTTTACATGAAAAGCAGCAGAAGCCATACTATTGATATTTACTTTGGCACATTTATATATAATATGACATCTTAAAAAGGGATGCACATCTTGAAAACAATAATGAATTTATGTTTACCATTCGATTCGTCTTCCCATTTGAATTCATAAGATTGGTTCATGATCCGACCACCTGGCTTCAGAACTGATAACATCAATTGACCGTACCTGAAATGTAACCAAAATACCCAGGGTTTTGGAAAATTAAGCTAACAGAGAGGGCGTACCAATAGTGGCGAATGTGGAGCATAGAAATCATGATATAGGGATAAAGAGTTCCCCTTTCCCCCTTCAGTTATTATTTTATTTTTTTATTATAAAAAGTTACAAAATTGCACCCCTATAAAGCTTTACAAAGAGTTCCTATATTTTCCTGATAATTTGTCTGTTTTTAGATTCCTTTTACACAATACTTACTTAATAATACAAAGCATCAATTCAAATAGAATACATACTTTTATATTTTTGTTAAAACGAGAATATTAAATTGACATCTTTGTTGAAACATGTACAAAATGATACAGGTCTTTCATATATCAATTCCTTCACACAATACTTACTTAATAATTAAAAAAAAAAAAGTATCAGAAAAGATCAGGGAAAGAAGACTACGTTTTGCAGGCCACAGCTGTAGGAACATCAATGAACCAATATCTCAGCTTTTACTCTGGAAGCCTAAACACGGGAAGAAGAAACCTGGAAGACCTCATCTTACTTATACAGACCTACTCAAGAAGGATACGGGACTTGAACTGTCAGAGATAAAAGCAGCCATGCTGGACAGGAATGTGTGGATGGCCATCACAGCTCGGGCAGTTGACCCGACTTAAGCAAGTAAGTAAGCATATATCAAGTAATTTGAAACACGAAAAGAAATAATACCTTGAGATATTCAAAGAATGACTGTGTTATCATTGTTTATGGCAGTCATGCATATTTTGATGTGAGTATATGAGAATTTTGCGCTAGCTTTGATTGAAATAACCGAAATAGAAAGGGTATGAAGGAAGAAAATGCATACTAACTTACTTTGGTCTATCTGGTGTACTGATAACTATTAAAGCTCCGCAATCCCAAATTGCGTCCACTTTCTCCATCAATGATCTGTAAAAGATAATGGTTTGAAATAAATTTAATAACTTGACATTTAAACAAGAGTTATATTCATCATTAATTTACAATTAATCATTTTCAGACGGCCTTATCCATTAATATTTTAACCTTCAAGATTTTATTTGACACTATTAGTTTTATTGTAGAAAAAAAATCATCCACCCGTTTATTTTCTGTCTACGAAAAAAGATCGCAGTAATATCGTCATAATGCTATTGATTGCATTAAAAAAAGACTGGTATAGATCTATATAAGTGAAAAGTGACGAGTACGATAAACTTAGATAATAAAAAAAAAATGGTATGACCTATGACAGCGGCTTATCAACAAGAAAAGGTCTAGTTGCCAGTGTCGTGTTTTCGAGAATTATAATGAATAAGATTAAAAATAGATGAAAATTGCGTGAAATGTTAAACATATAGGTCTAACGGCTAGTAAAATACTAAATTACTTACATATCAAAATCGAATAGGTTGCACTTGAATAGCTTGATTGTTTTTTCCTTGTTCTGAAAAAAAAAATCGTCATGAACAAAAATCGGAACCAAATGAAGTTTGGACGCTGATTTGATACCAATTTTTTCTCCAACTAGTGTGCTAAAATAATGATCAAATAAAGTCCACTACTACCTCTACGATAGTTACTGCACCTTGTGGGCAAGGTGGGTTTACCATAGTCCCCCAAAACGTACCGTCATCATATTATGTTTAGTTTATGTCGTTACATTAAAATCGATATAATCATAAAACAGAATTGTTCACAACAATATATTTTGTATTTCATATGTTTTCATTTCAAAAAGTTTTCGGAAGATCGGACGTTTTTGACAGTGCTAATACACGTAACATGAATATAGACAAGACTTTCCCCGACAGATGGCGCAATAACTCAATGTCTGAATGTAGGATAAAGGGAGGGGAGCGAAGTGAGAACACTCATAGAGGCATGCGTCACGGAATTCTTAGATTCCGCTGTGTTAGTGGCGGTTAGTTTGAATAAGATAAGTGGAAGATGCATGAGAAGTGCGTTATCCTTCCACTGCACGCAAAGTAGAACGTCTTTTTTATAGACTTTAAATATATGAATTTGACCTATAAATCTATAACCTATTTTCCCATAAGGAACGACCTGAACTTGTCATACTTTTTACACCTAGTTTTACACCTTTACAGTTTTATCTGGGGTTTTTCTTTTACCCCAGGCTAATTATGTTAGGGCAGGATGTTAGATATATATGATTGATTTCAAAGAAGTATAAATCATCCGATGAACATTTGAGAATTTATACCTATACATATTCTCGAATATTGTGAAAATACCGATAAAATGAAAGTCAGCTCTTCGTGCTAGTAGCTTGGCAGGCTTACCTCAAACACCTTTCCATTGGGAACGTTGGGTAGGTCACTGACCGTGAAAGACATGTTGTACTTCTTGAAGAACAGACGAAACGATTTCTCTACGATATCAAGACCGATAACACGATGTCCCTGATCAACCAACCTTCACAGAAACAAAACAGTTTGTATAAGAGAGAGATAGAGAGAGAGGTGGCAAAAATCTGTGAGGGATTTTCGAAATTTGTAATACTTTGTATATAATCATGTGTTTCGTCTTTCGGATTTACTGTTATACAGATATTGGCTGGCAGGGGGTGTAATATAATATTCTATGGACCGCTAATAGGAGTTGTATTTTCCCAAGTGCCGTTGCCGTCAATGGTCGTTGTATTTTCCGAAGTGGAGAATTTCGGCCGTCTGCGGTCGCTAGGTCCGAAAAATGTTATATACCCCCTCCCCTGCTAGTCAATATATGTTATATTAGATAGCCTTGGTTTGAAAATTTAGGGTGGGGAGTTCATTTTTTGTGTGCCCGAAGTTTTTTCCATTTCCTTTTCGAGGATAATTTTTTTTTCAGAAAACATGTGAGAAAACAAATTGATGAAATACAAATATTTCGAAATAATTAGAGAAAGAATATCTGCAACAACAACAAATTCTTATTAAAAAAAAAAAAGCATTGGGGGGGGGGGGGGGGTGGAAAAAATAATTTCAAGAGGAAAACAAATCGAGAACAAAACATATCGATAAACAAATATTAACCGTCGGTATCGGTAAATTTGTGTAATTGGTGACATACAGTCCTCAAGAGGACTACATGCATTGATTAAAATATATTCATTTCACCAGCTGGTAAAATATAACACTGAAACTGACCGGCCAGGGAAATATAACAATTTAGATCCTCGCCATTGATTGGACTCAAGGTAAACATAGCCAAGATAGAAGTGCAAGTTATTAGCAAAAGGAAGTGCAACCTAAACATTGACATAGCCAACGACAGACTGAAACAGATGGAAGATTGTGTGTACCTGGGGGGGGGGGGAATAGCTGAAAACGGCTCAAGTTCAAGTGACATCAAAAACCGTATCAAGAAAGCAGGGGGAGCTTTCCAAAGATTAAACAACATCTGGACATCAAAAAGCATCAGTAGCCACACAAAGATGCAACTGTACCAAACACTTATCCTCTCAATACTGCTGTTCGGGACAGAATCTTGGACAGTCAGGAAAGAAGAAAGCAACAGGCTTCAAGTATTTGAAATGGCATGCCTCCGTCGCATAATGGGGATGACAAGACTAGACAAGCTTCGAAACATGCACATCAAAGAATCCCTCAACCTCGAACGAGATGTCATGGACAAAGTCTCGACTAAAAGACTCAAATATTGTGGTCACGTCCTACGAATGAAATCCACAAGATACCCCAAAATTGCTGTTGAAGGAAACGTCGCAGGAAATCGACCCAGAGGCCGTCCACCCAAAAGATGGCTTGACTGCATCTCAGAGGATTGCAGAGCAAGATCCATACCAAGGCTGACAGATGCATCAAGATTGGCTGGCATACCATCACCATACAGAAGCCATCAAGAGGCCCCTGGCCTGCGTGGACGACAGAAGTCAAGTAAATCAATTGATATCACGTGACGAGCTCTGGACCAGTCATATCTCGGTATCTGTTTAAGCTATCTAATATATTCATTTTTTTAAACAAAGCCATGTTAGGTCTGTCAAAACTGCATTTATTCACAAACGAACCATTCCAGAATTACGGTGTCAAGTTTGGACAGCTTGGTATCACAAACCGTTATACAGTATATTTAGCCAAAACTTACTGTTTTCTACGAAAAATCGCTGATATTGAACAACGATTTCAAAGTACAAGAATAGTCATGACAATATTATGGATTTATAGAGCGCCTAATACATTCATCATGTCTCAAAGTGATTTATAGCAACATTAGTACCCCGGTCATCTAATAAAATTGAGAATATGAATAATGCTATCCAGCTTTTACAGGAAGTCAAATAATTTTCGAATTTACGAAATTACGAATTTCAAATGCATAAATGATTCATAAGAAAAGAAACAGATAGCCAAAAATCATCACTCACCACTTTATATCGTTGCTCATCCCACACAGAGGTAGAAAAAAAGTAGACCCTGACTCTCCATTTGTTACTCTGTCAACAAACTTTATAAGGTTCCTGTTTTATTTGGAGAAACAAAAAGACAGAACAAAAATTATGAAGTATATCATTTTATTGAATTTAAGATGACACAGTCAAGGTTGGAACAAATGACGTAGCATCTTTTCTGTGTATGTGGGTGTGTGTCTATATAAATGCAATTATATATATATATATATATATATATATATATATATATATATATATATATATATACATATATGTATCGTCGTAGTGAAAAGATAGTATATCGTTAATGATATATATTGTACTGTATAGTTGTTCTTTTTTTTTTTACTTAGACAATATATATTAATTGTAGACTAGTGTGAAATACGTTTATTCAACCGACGCAATACTGTCTTTATCATCCTTCATTCCTTCCTTCGCTTTCTCTTTCTTTCTTTCTTTCTCTCTCTCTCTCTCTTTCTCTCTTTCTCTCCCTCTCATTCACACACCACTCACTCTCTCTATCTCTTTCTGCCTTCCTCTCTTTCACACCCCCCCCCTTTCGTCATTTGATTGAGATAGGTGCTCCAGTGCTCCCCAGTATCCACGTAGCTAGGGGTAATTAATTTTGTTGCCTTATTGGGACAGTTTCTTACTGAAAGAAGATACTTACTCAGAGACAGGTCTATCGGCATGCGCCGAGGGCTTCTCATCCGTTCCAAGCCAAGTCTTCTCCCATTCTGCTTCAGATGGAACTGGACCAGTTGGGACTGACGAACTCGCATCATCTTTGGATGCAGACATTGCTCCTCTTGGTGATATGATTAGATGAATAAAAAGTAAGATAAAAAAATATGATAATTAACAATGTACATATGTAATCAAACAATATATGGTTGTATTTGAACCAGACGACTGGGTCTTAAAGCCCGTCTGTAGGAGTTTAGCCAGGAGGGATAAGACCACCCAACGTGGTCACTGACAGGTGGTTATCTCATCAACTCGGCTCCAATTAACATAAAAAAAGAGGATCATGGGGGACCCGTTTCTTGAGTTCTAAAGGGTATATTAAAACTAATGATTTGATAAAATTAATTGATATTAAAATATTGTTTTCTTTCTTCATCTCTTACTTTGTTTTTACCATTTTCTGCTTGACGTTAGTTCTAGTTGTTATTGGCTCGAGGACGTGTATTGTGTTTTTTTAATATTTGTTTGATATAATGGTATAATTTATAATAACAGTATAATCATAGTAGTAATAATAGTAGTGGTAGTAGTAGTAGTAGTAGTAGTCATAGTAGTAGTAGTAGTAGCATTAGTAGTAGTAGTAGCATTATAGTAGTAGTAGTAGTAGTAGCATTAGTATTATTTATAGTAGTAGTAGTAGTAGTAGTAGTAGTAGTACTAGTAATATTAGTATCATTAGAATTAGTAGTAGTAGAAGTGGTAGTGGTAGAAGTAGTAGTAGTAGTAGTCGTCGTCGTCGTCGTCGTCGTAGTAGTAGTAGTAGTAGTAGTAGCATTAGTGGTAATAGTAGTAGTAGCAATAGTTGTATTTATAGTAGTAGTAGTAGTAGTAGTAGTAGTAGTAGTAGTAGTACTAGTAATATTAGTATCAGTAGAATTAGTAGTAGTATAAGTGGTAGTAGTAGATGTAGTATTTTTAGTGGTAGAAGAGGTAGTAGTAGAAGTGGTAGGTATAGTAGAAGTAGTAGTAAAATCGATGGATGTAGTATAGTAGTAGTATAGTAGTAGTAGATGTAATATAGTAGTTAGTAGTAGTATAGTAGCATTAGTAGTAATAGTAGCAGACTAGCAGTAGCAGTGGCAGTAGTTTTTAGTAGTATAGTAGTAGAAGTAGAAGTAGTAGTTAGTAGTAGTAGTAGTAGTAGTATAGTAGCAGTAGTAGTAGTAGTAGTAGTAGTAGTAGTAGTATAGTAGTAGATGTAATATAGTAGTTAGTAGTAGTATAGTAGCATTAGTAGTAATAGTAGCAGACTAGCAGTAGCAGTAGTAGTGGCAGTAGTTTTTAGTAGTATAGTAGTAGAAGTAGTAGCAGTATAGTAGTAGTAGTAGTAGTAGCAGTATAGTAGTAGTAGTAGTAGTAGCAGTATAGTAGTAGTAGTAGTAGTAGTAGTAGTAGTAGTAGTAGTAGTAGTAGCAGTATAGTAGTAGTAGTAGTAGTAGTAGTAGTAGTAGTATTCGATGTAGTATAGTAGAAGTGGTAATAGTAGAAGTGCTCGTAGTTAAAGTGGTAGTAGTAATATCATTGTCATATTGGGATAGGTGTTCTAGTTGTCCAGGGTAGCTATCATGTAGTGCTGAACCCATTATTTAACATCGTTGGTATGCCATGCAAAAATCTTTCAATAGGGACTTTACCACACTAATCGAAGAAATCATGATTGAAGGATTATTAGTGCAAGGAAGAGAATAAATGATCCGATGTCAGGCAACATCGTCTAGTAATTTACTTGCAAAATCACGAGTCATTGCATTAATGTATTGCTTCTCTATACACATTTGACGAAGGTAGTATACTTACCTACTGTTTAATGCTCAAAATACGATTCAAAGCTGCCAAATTTATGTCACACAACACTGATTAATGTATTTTCACACTAACAGGGTCGGTTAGATACTAAATACTGAGGAAGAGAAGCATTGCTATTGGACTTTCTTCAGCAGGTGCCACGACTGTGTCGTATTTGCTCGCTTATGCTAGCATACATCGAGATAATACACTGTTTGTTCGTACTTGGACATTCATATTTGCCAAGTTCATGCCTAGACATTGACTATGTATACGACCCATGCCCAGCAAATAGTGACTGCACATTATGCGAGAGATTTTAACGTACATTCTGTATCGGCCCTTAGATAGTAGTAGTGACACAGACTGCCTCCATGGGAAACATATCCTTCAATACACAGTCCATATGTACAGCCACGGTTATCATGGCCGTTACGTTGCCAAGTTCATATTTTATACTCAAAATATCAGCTTTACAGTGGGGGCAGTCTCAACAATACCTTGTTGCCTTTTGTCGGGTGTGAAGGGCAAAGAGTATAATACATGTACGTGACACAATCGTTTAAATAGGTCAAAATTCACTCTGCGCTTCTCGATAATCACTAGTGCATTACCAAGCATTACTAATGCATAACCTAATATAGTCTTACAATGTATATACATTATGATTCGAGTTGAAGTATATATACAATAATGCTCACCTCACTTTACTGTTAATGTGGATAAAAACAGTTTCCCCTGATCTTTAATGCTGGATGAGCAGACAGCAACAACATACGTCTGGTGCAGACAGGAAATAGGCGCGAATGCAGTAGTATCGCCCTTTAAACAAGCTGAATTGTTATGCACCGGAGAACGATAGCAAGTACAGAAAGTAGAATAATAGTTCATATCATAGAGATTTTCGATATTGTCTTGTCGATACGTTTTGAATGACCGGAACGCTACGCATGAATTAGTATTTTCCTGTGTATTCGTAGAGTTAAGGCTACATGAAAAGGGAACGTGGGAAAGAGAGAGCGAGGGTGAGTGTATGACAGAGAGAGAGAAATGAGAGAGAAAGAGAGAGAGAGAGAGGGGGGCAAAAGGGGAGGGAGAGAGAGAGAAATAAAGTGAAAGAAACAGAAAGAGAGAAAGAAAAAAATGAGAGACTGAGAGAAAGATGAAGAGATGAGGCTGAATATATACAGAATGAGGAAGGGAGAATGGCCAGAGGGGGGGGGGGGGGGGGGGGAGAGAACGGGTCACAAATGGAAAGAAGGGACATGGAAGAGAGAGTTTACAAATGAGGGGAACGGAAACAGAATGAGAAAGGGAAAAGTGGGAAGGGGGCTCTCTCTCTCTCTCTCTCTCTCTCTCTCTCTCCCGAAAGGTACGAGACGTAGGATGGTTACAGATGCAGGAAAAACACACGTTTGTCGTATACACACGTGAACTCACGATGAACACCATTAATGACAAGACATTAGGATAATGTATTTGCTAATGGAGAAACTCATTTTATTGGAAATCATTATTGTAGAACAGTAATTCAATGATTTAGTCAGAAGTATATTTTGTATTACAACAAAGTGGTTAATATGAAAAAGCTTTTTATCATGTTAATTGCGACGCAATCGCAATGTATCATGTGAAAATACCCAAATATTCTACTCATTATGCATCGAATGTATTTGTATTCAGGCGCGCCGGAAGCAGTTTGGGATTGGGGGGGCAAACATTCCAGGGGGCTCACATTCCAGGGGCAGTGACGTAATGAGAAAAAAAGTTCGGAAGGGGGGGGGGGGGGCAGACGAAAAATCTGCATCACCACCAGTCTTACACGTTACATGCAGGTCCCGCGGAACGTTTTTCAAAGTGGAGTATTATCGATCAGGTAGAGCGTAAATTGGCGTGGGGTCCAGGGCATGAGCCTCGGCAGGGGGTCAAGGGGCTGAGCCCCCGGAAGCTCAGGGGTTTTAGGTATTTAATTACGGTCAGATGAGCATCCAGGGGGCCGCCTCAGGGCCCTTGGTGGGGTCCAGGGGGCAGAGCCCCCAGAAGCTCAGGGGTTTTAGGTATTTAAATACGGTCAGATGAGCATCCAGGGGGCCGCCTTAGGGCCCTTGGTGGGGTCCAGGGGCAAAGCCCCGGAAGCTCAGGGGTTTGAGGTATTTAATTACGGTCAGATGAGCATCCAGGGGGCCGCCTTAGGGCCCGTGGTGGGGTCCAGGGGGCAAAGCCCCGGAAGCTCAGGGGTTTTAGGTATTTAATTAAGGTCAGATGAGCATCCAGGGGGCCGCCTTAGGGCCCTTGGTGGGGTCCAGGGGGCAGAGCCCCCGGAAGCTCAGGGGATTTAGGTATTTAATTAAGGTCAGATGAGCATCCAGGGGGCCGCCTTAGGGCCCTTGGTGGGGTCCAGGGGCAAAGCCCCGGAAGCTCAGGGGTTTTAGGTATTTAATTACGGTCAGATGAGCATCCAGGGGCCCGCCTTAGAGCCCTTGTTGGGGTCCAGGGGGCAGAGCCCCTGGAAGCTCGGGGGTTTTAGGTATTTAAATACGGTCAGATGAGCATCCAGGGGCCCGCCTTAGGTCCCTAAGTGGGGTCCGGGGGCAGAGCCCCCGTAAGCTCTGGGGTTTTAAGCATTTAATTACGGTCAGATGAGCATTTTTTATACCTTATTTGTGACATTGGCAGGTCACTTATTTTTTTCTCCGTCTTTCTTTCTTTTTCTCTTTAACATACTTTTTCAAAAAGGAGGGGGGGGGGGGGCTCGAGCCCAGCCACTTTGCAGACCATGACATAAAGGCTTCTAAATAAGCGTATTTCGCCCGACTGTAATTTGGGAATTTCTTATTTTCCAACAAACGCATAAGAAGGTATGACTTACAAAAAAAATGGAGAAAAAATGCCGGAAAATCATGTCACAACATCAACATTTGTATATCACTTGTTTCGAATAAGAAATACATCACCCCCCCCCCCCCATCAGTACGCCAACGTTCAGGGGCTCATGTCTTCTCACCCCTATAACAAAAAAACGGACACGCTTTCCCATTCTCGCACAATATGTCCACGATATGCGCGTATCGCTATTATAGAGACCTCCATTGATAAATACCGTATAGGTGGCATGCGCAATGTTTATGAAATTTAATTCCTGTGAACTTTCCTTTTTCTTTGAATGGAATTGTATATGTGATTTAATTCAGGTTTTTATTATTGTTACGTTCTTTTGGATTAAAAATACAAACCATGTTTACTCCTTTACTGTTTTTTTTTTTTTTTTTGGAGGGGGGGGGGGGCGTTTTGGGGGGGGCAAAAATGCGTTTTGCCCCCCCACTTTTTTGACTGGGGGGGCAACTGCCCCCCCTGCCCCCCCACTTCCGGCGCCTATGTTTGTATTTTTTGTAATTTCAATGGCATATTTCTCAAACAATAAGTCTCGTTTAGCAGTATAAGTGCATCTATATATGGTACACTAAATCCCAATTATGATTATTGTATTGAGTCGGCACAAACAATGCTATTACTCAGGGGCGTCAAAAGGGCGAGCACCCCACCCCCAACCCGCCCATCATTTCAGAATTAGCTGGGTATATAACATAATATAGTCCAAGCAATGCTGTGTTTGCCCTAATGCTGGAGATGGATTGACGTCCCTGCGTAATTACAGATGTCTTGAGGACATTCGATAAATGTCTCCTTTGGCCATCAAGCAACCTGTCGTGTCGACCCAATGGTTACCATGGTTACAAGTGGGAATTATAGTACATCTGAACGAATAACTGCACTGTCATACAATAATACAGACTATGGATGACTGCTGGGAGGAATGAACATCATAAAGATCAAAAAATTAATGTAAAATACCAAATTGAATTGACCTGAATGGAATTGAATTTCAAATAGCTTTTTCATAAAATCCCGACTAAAGGCCTAATTGAGATATTGTTACAGATTAAAATATGTACAATCAGAAAAGGGCGGGAAAATTTCCCCTCCTGCTTAAATCTGCCATTATTTTAGAAACATCCCTATGTAAGGGGAAATTTATGCAAATATAAACTGACATTTGCATTTTTCCGAAACAAAGTAAATGACCAAATGGACAGCCCTCTATGGGCCAAAGCAGTTTAACCAGCTCCAAAAGAGAATCACAGTGTACCTTACTTGTCACCTGTAGTAAAATGGAAGAAGAAAAAAACGGGGGGGGGGGGGGGGATTAATACATTTATATAAAAATATTTTAAAAAAGGAAAGTGCAGGTATTTCAATGTTGTTAATCCATCCAGTGCTATAACCAACAAAAGTGATGCATCTTGATTGTTATTTAAAAAGCATTATTCTAGGGGATGTATTAATTATGTAACTATGTTTTCACATAAACCGTGTTGCTGTGAAGTGCTTGTAGACACTGTAGCTGTACTAGGAAATATTTAACACCAGAGTGTTATTTATTGTACCATTTGGATGACCACTGTTTTAAGAGGCCATTTGAGCATTCGTGATGTTAAAGATTTGTTTTCAAATAAAGATATTGAAGAGTTGGCTATCATAAAGTCAAGACTGTTGGCAAAATGTAATTTATATGAACAGGCAACTTGCATGATACATACAAAAAAAAGGAAATCTCCCTTAACAAAACTGTGAGAGAAAGCAGACTATACTGCGTTTGAAATGTTCTCACTGCAAAGTGACAACATGAAGTTGTACGGCATGGTTAAAAGAATGAATGAAATTTGCAGTGTAGCTAAACTTGTGACAGTTCCTAACTCATAGTGGGACACACGTATGCATCCATGGATTAAAGTAAATACACCCGAGCAAGCTAACAAGCAAGCTTAGGCTGGTTATCAATCTGGGCCCTGTTTCATAAAACTTGTTATAAATAACACATTACAATGACGGGTATAAGCTAATGAAATAACATCTAATTCCATGTGACCAAATTTGTCATCGAATTTTGAAACAGAGCCCTGATAAAATAAGTAGTACATGTACTTACAAACACGAATTGAAAGTGAAATATAAATTATAAAAGTTATTATCCCAAAGGCAAAACAAAATACTAAGATCAGGTTGAATACAAATTAGTCAGCCCCCCCCCCCACAAAAACAAGGGAGAGATAAATGATAACCTAGGATTGATGCAGCCCCTTCGCATTTTGGTATGATCACAATGAATATAAGAAGAGGCTCTTTATCGCTCCTAAGTATTAAAACAAATATATATAACTTCGTACATCGATCCAACTGTTGTAGTTCTCCTTATTTAGGCTGGAATGCTCCCCAGGGAGTGGAGTATGTGCATACCTTGTGTGCGGGTAAGCCTGAATCCGATGACCGGGGTAATAATATGTTCCGCGCCTAGAAACAAAGTATTAGGCGCATTATAAATGTGAGCTATTATTATTATTATCATCATGATAATAATCAAAGAGCAAATTGGGATCATCTTAAACGAGTAACAGAGGTAGAGGGGGATATGACATTAATTATACAAACAAGCAAATCGAGATTAAAAATGTACAGAGAAAGACAAATTAAAACAGGAAAACACGATCGCAACTTCTTTCGGGAAATTTCAATAGCAGAAAAGAAAATATAGATAGATGTATTGAAATGCTAAGAAGACATCATGGATCTTAAATATAACACTATGTACATGGATGCACAAAGTAAATACATGGTATCTCTGGTTTCATGGAATCCTAGGAAACCTATTTTAAGCGTTACCAGGGAGAAAAAGAAAACAGCACCTGACTGGGCGTGCCGTTCACCCACAATTTAAGGAACAGTGCTCCGTGGGCTCATCATTCACAGGTCACCATCTCCCAGTCAGTAATTCTAACTACATCTTACGCCAGGAATACCAAAACGAAATACAATTTAATATCTAAAAATGAAAGAGAAGTATAATAGAACCTGGCTGGGCGTGACGTTCTCCTACAGT